AATAGCAGCAGCAGGACTCACCTGCCACCCAGAGAAGTGTAAGATAGCAAGGCGGACGGTGGCGTATCTGGGATTTGAGGTGAAAGGGGGCAGGCTGGGTATTCAGGAGGCGAAGGTTAAGGTGCTGGACAAGCTGGCGCCGCCGAAGGACAAGTCAGGGCTGAGAGCGTTGCTCGGCTTCCTGAACTACTACAGGAAGTTCGTGCCGAAGTTCAGCAGGCGAGCGAACCTCCTGAATCAACTGCTCAGGGAAGGAAAGCGATGGGAGTGGGGAAAGGAGGAAGAGGCGGCTAGACAGGATCTACTAGAGGCAGTACGGACAGGCACACTGCTACAGATACCCAGGGCAGACGCTCCCTTCACGCTTTACACCGACTGGAGCTGCATGGGGATGGGGGCAGTCCTGTGCCAGGAGATTGAGCAAGAGGAGCGAGTGGTAGCATTTGCCAGCCGCAGCTGCAGCCCCACCGAGGCAAATTACTGCTCGTATGAAGGCGAGGGGTTGGCAGCTGTATGGGGCATCAACCATTTCAGGGTCTACCTGCAGGGGCGTAGGTTCGTGCTGGTAACCGACCACCAGCCTTTGATGTGGCTGATGACAAACCAGGAACTGACGGGACGGAATGCCCGCTAAGCGATCAAGCTGCTGGGATACGACTTTGAAATCCGCCACCGCCCGGGCAAGACCCTCCAGCATGCTGACGGTCTGTCTAGGAACCCTCCACCTGTGCAGCCCGTGGCGCAGCTGGTAGCCGTAGCACAGGTGCCGGCAGCTGGCTGGGGGCAAGAGAAAGTTGAGAAGAGGCAGCTAAATGTCTGGGAGGATACCGAGACTCTGGAGTGGATTAAGGGAGGGAGCACGGAGGGCGAGGAGGCCAGTGAAAGGGCAAGGGCCAGGGGGCAGCATTACCGTTGGTACCAAGAGCAGCTGCAGCTGCGCACCAGTGAGGGATGGAAGATAGTGCCACATAAGAAGGACAGGGAAAGGATCATGCGGCGGGTGCATGGGAAGCTGGGGCATTACGGAACGGCACGCACCAATCAACTGCTGAGCACGATGTACTGGTGGGCAGGGATAAGGAGGGACGTCAAGGAGCTGGTAGATGAGTGTGCAGCCTGCAGGCGCAACAAAGCAGCACTGGAGAAGGCAAGGGAGGAGCTGCACTCACTGCCGATTCGGGGACTGGGCTACCGCTGGTCGCTAGATTTGGCTGGGGAATTACCTCTGTCCAAGAAAGGCAAGCAATACATACTCGTGATGGTAGAGCACACCAGTAAGTGGGTAGAGGCCAGGGCACTGCCGAGCAAGAACAGTGGGCTGATTGCAGAGGCGTTCGTGGAGCAAGTGATCACCAGGTTTGGGGCGTGCGGGGAGGTGTTAACTGACCAGGGTACCGAGTTCAAGGGCTGCTTTGAAGAGACTTTGCAGGAGCTGCAGATCACTCACCGTGTGACATCAAGGTATCACCCGCAGTCAGATGGGTTAACGGAGCGGCTGATTCAGACTCTAAAGAGAGGGCTGCGGGCCTACGGGGAGACGAACAAGAGAGGATGGGACCAGGAGCTACACTGGATCCTTGCAGGTTATCGCTTTGCCAAGCAAGCGGCATTGAAGGACATGTCGCCGTACCATCTGCTGTACGGGAGGCACCCCATCCTACCCGTGGATGCACCGAAGTTGCTAAGCGCGACGGTAGATGCAGACGAGCCACACCTGTGGGCTGAGCTGGCTAGGAAGAGGGCGGCCTACCTGAAGGAACTGACGCCGGCAGCGCTAGACAACCTCCACGTGGCGCAGCTGAGGGACGCTAGACGTTACCAACAGAGGAAGGCAGGAGAGGAGGGAAGCAGACGTAAGGGAGTAGAGACTGGGGAGGAAGTGTACCTGAGGCAGCCCAAGCGAGATACGCTAGACCTGCCAGTCGGACCAGAACGCTGGAAGGTGAAGGAGATGCGGCAGTCCGGGGTGCTGGTGCTAGAGGATGAGCGAGGAAGGCGCATCAAGGAGCACGTTACCAATGTGGCCGCGGCTGGAAAAGGGAAGGGTCAGGCTGTGGGTCCCGAAGCCAGAGTTGCCTGTGCTGGAACTCAGGCTCGGGAGGGGGCAGTGCAGCCTGAGAAACAAGGAGAAGGCAGGAGCGGCATCATTACATACACCAGGAGGAAGAAGAGGCAGACAGGCGGCAGCGGGACAAGCAAGCAGGCATGAGAGGATGAGGGTGAGGGAGGAGGTGGAAGTACCTGGCAGGAAGAAACAGGGAATTTGAGAAGGAGGAAGAGAAGAACAGTCAGAAGAGCAGAAGGAGGGGAGCTACTTCACGACAGCTGTCGCGCTATTAACACATAGCCTGCGGCTAAGTGTGAATTGCACAGCAGCTTAAGGTGAGGTTGTACTATATTGCTGTTTGTTTCTTGTACTCATACTTTCGTTTGTGTGCTTGGAATGTACTGTACATATATGGAGCCGAGCAGGGTGGAGAAGCTCAAGGAATTTGGTGGGGACAGGGTTGAATTCGATTCCAGGCTGGGAATTCGATTCAGAGAATGCAATTCCAGCTGGAAGTCGGTGCATTCCTAGTGGGCCACTGGGACCCAGCTAGCACCTAGAAGCAATCGCGAGCAGCACTGCTGCTATGCGACTTGGCAACTAGAGTTAGCTTGTGGGACAAGCAACCTAGGCAGAAGGATGGTTGGGACTTAGGCAGGGGAGGATACCTGCTCCATGCTTTTTGCTTGTTTGTTTCTCGTAATACTGCAATTCGTTTTCCCAACCACGGAGGCAAGCAGTTAAAGAGAAGCTCAGGCAAACTGACGGAGCCCTTGCGAGGGAGAGCATTCAGTCTTGTTGCATGTGCAGCCTGAGAAACAAGAAGGCAGGAGCGGCATCATTACATACACCAGGAGGAAGAAGAGGCAGACAGGCGGCAGCGGGACAAGCAAGCAGGCATGAGAGGATGAGGGTGAGGGAGGAGGTGGAAGTACCTGGCAGGAAGAAACAGGGAATTTGAGAAGGAGGAAGAGAAGAACAGTCAGAAGAGCAGAAGGAGGGGAGCTACTTTACGACACTTCCCCTTCTGGCGCTGTCACTGGCCTGGTCTCTATGTTCCCTCCTGCCGTCATAATCCTCTTTTCCTGTCTTCCCTCCAACGCCTTGGTGTACAAGCGAGCCTCCATGCAAGCCAATTCTACTGTGATCTTCATCACCAGGAACGACACCTCGATGTTTCCCCAACCTCTCGCCGTTACACCCCACGTGTTGCCCTTCCCTCTTCTGTCCATCACACTTTCTCTGCTTCCGCCCCTCCCATCTCTTCTTGCGATTGTTGTTCTTTTACTCAACCTGCCTTTTATTCCAGCCCAGTTTCCCCCTCTTTTGCCGCATGGTCACTTTTAAGCTGCTTCGAGATCTCCCCTTCCCCCCCTCTCTTGCTCCTCCGTGCATTCACTGTGTTTGAGCCAAACTCTCACAACAATCTCTTCATCCGTCTTCCTCCCTCTACCTCTGCTCTATCTCGTGCATACAGACTTTTCGGGCCCTTCCTCGACAGCCCTTAGTCAGAATCACCGCTACTTTCTCCTTCTCATCTATGACGAATCTTTTCGCCTCTGCCTGTCCTCTCCGTGCCAAAATATGACGCCCCCTTCTCCATCATTTGCTGGGTTGAAAAAGCTTGCCTTCGCTTTGGGCATCTTGTTGCGCGCTTCTATTCTGATAGTGGTGACGATTTTTTTAACCAAGTTAAAAAGAATCGGTTTTGTAAAATACTGTCTGTGATTACTGTCCGTTTTTTATGGTGATATGATAAAACAGAAAAAAAAAAATCGGAAAAAAAACGGTAGTTTTTCTGTTAGAGAACTCTTGTCCTCAACCATGCCCACACATATGCCCCCCACACATATGCAAGGAAGAGCTCGTCCTCTTCATCCTCCTGAATTTTGCCATCAACTTGGTCCCAGAAAACAGCCGTTTCTTCCTCCTTAACTATTATTTATGACCGTTTTTCGCGATATTGTTTTTTACAGAAAGAAAAAAAGAAAGAAAAAAAAAATCAAACGGCGGGTTCTTTTTTTACCCTGCTTCCCTCATAGAATTCGCCAAACTTCCACCCTTCAACACTCTCCTCCGCTCTTCACTCTCTTGGCTTCTCTTCCTCTACTTTCGTCCCCAGTCTCTTCATCAGAACCTCCCCCCACATGTTTTTGGCACACCATTCCCACTTCAGCGCGCTTGTGCTCACTCGTCTCTCCATTTCAACGAGGTGTTCTAGTTCGTTTTGTGCCCCTCTTTAGAGGTTCACCTAGCCTAAGAGTTGTTGGAGTTGGCTAGTTTCCCCTACGTAAGTGATTCTAGCCATATATTATTTTTTGTTGCTAGGTAGATTTGGGGTTGCACCCCCAACCAACCAATGTATCGAGATCCAATCAATGCAAACTTTTTAATTCTTGATGTTCATGGCTGTCAGACTCTCTACTTGAACACAACGAGACTATTTAACTCATTGAGAGTGCAAGAATAACAAAAATCATCCAATTTGTGATCATCCTTGGCAACATTAGAGTATTAAGAAAGAACTACTCCACAAGAGAAGGCTCACAGCGTCGTTAAAAGTGAAAGGCTTCCAATCCAGTCTGGTATTGATCCTGACAAATTATTCCCACGCAGAACTCTGCAGTAGTATGAAAAAAAAAAAAAAAAAAACAAAACAAAACCAAGATACAAGCCATGGCAAAGCATGTTGTTTGTTTAAACAAAAAAAAAAGAGACGTAGATACGAGCTTGTTCATGCACATCCTAGGGGCAAGTGCACACATACAAGACGAGCTTTTTTTGGTTCAACTCCGCTCTTTTTTTGTACGTTAAAAGAGGAAACAACCACCACAGCACTATATAATTACTACCAACACCAGCACAGAGCGCATGGCAGCTTCCAACACAGCATTGGGCATGTGGGACGTGGTTACCTTACATGTCAATTCAACCCATGTTGACAAGTACTCACAAAGTTTGAAGTTGTGACATCCCAGAAATGAAGTCGGGAATTGTTCCATTCAGGTTGTTTTGGGCAAGTTCTCTAACAAGAAAGTAGGCATGTGAGCGGGTATTGAGCATCCAGGGGAACAGTTTACACATGTAAGACTGATGAATTTATAATGACAAACAGAGAAGATACGGTATTTTGTGTAATCGAAATTGCATACAATACACAATCTTATACCTAGCATATCTTGTTGTACAAGAAACCTAGGTTTCCACACAACATGTGTATATATGTAGCACGGGCTCGAAATCTCAACCCATCATCGGCCTCTCGTACCCTGGAGGTCGTGTACTCTACAAATACCACTACCCACACCACAAATCCAATTTTTCCTTAGCAAAGTACTCGACTCAAGTACCCGGCTACTGACTAGGTTAAAAGGACGTGTTTGTTTTGTGAATGACACAGGTGGTTCTGCTTCTTGGGGAGGGGGTGTGGTGCTCGGCTTAGCGGGTGAGCTAAGTGGAGGGTAGAAGAAGTTGACCAGGATTTGAAAGTTCGGCGATATGGTCCACTTATGAATCAGTTGAACTTAATTTCAAGGCTCAGTTGATGTCAGGAAATTGCCCATATGACCCCGCTGTTGATCTGAATTTGACCTCCAATATCCAATTTTCAGATTTGAAATTGGTTGGGTTTTCTGTCGATTCTGTGTGGTGAAGATCGGTAATCCAAGGAAGGGAGGGGGGGGGGGGGGGGGGGGGAGACAAGAGGATTGGTTGGGGACAATATTGTTAACCACTTTTTGTGGGATGGTAGAGTACGATCTCTGTTCCCGGGGAGTTGAGTAGAGAGATACGGATTGTACTCCCTCTCCCTACGCACTCTCCTACACAATCCTTTTTCTACCGGGAGCTTTCTCCGAACCCCCTGATTCACCCACAAGGTTGACTTGCAATCGTCCAAGTTTAGGTAAAAAGTTGGATGAGTGTTTGAGAAACTTGCCCATTTGGAAGAGTGACACGTCTGAACCTGGACCATAACACTTAGCCGAGTTTTGCTCAGCTCGGGGCATTACTCGGCCGAGTCGTAGCCATGAAGAGCCGAGTTTTACTCGGTTCGTTTGATAACCAGCAGAAGGTGAGAACAAGATGGAAGGCATTTTTTCGGAGGCAGCACTGAGGAATAGAAGACCATGCTGCTGCTGTATGCAACAAGACCATGCAGTGAGCAACAAAACTGTATAATGTGCAAGAAGAGCATACGGTGAGTGGCAGGGTGCATCTTTCCATTATGTATATAGCTGTGATCGTTGTCTCGTGTGCCAACCATGTGTTGTTGGGTATTTTTTGTCTTTTGACTTTGCTGGAGGTTTAGTTCCCTGGTATATTTCTAAGTTGCCAAATACGCTTGAAGCACTTTGCGTTTAGCGGACACACGCTAGCGTTCACACGCTACACGCTAAACGCAAGCAAATACGCATTACGTAATCGGAAAATTTTAGGGCTGCCCGAAAAAAATAATACGAATTAGATGGGGATTTTCTTGGTGAGCATTTCGCCGAAGTCGAAATGCAAATCCGCGGTCTAGGCAAGCGGGGATCTGACTTCGAATTTCTCAAGCACATTTGGAAAGTTGGATTTCAGATCTACACATTGAAACCCATCCCATCTACCGCATTGAACTCCATCTCATGTACGAAGTCCAACAAACCTCACGCTTCTTACCAGCCAGCCCAACTGCTCGTCATTTCCTATCCATTCCCGCTTCCATTCACTCCCTACTATTCTCTCAAGCGCTATTCTCGCCTCCACTTTCCCTCCCCAAACACCTTTCGAAATCAGGGAAATTCTAGGGGACTCCTAAGAATAAGGAGTAGTTTTTTCTCACCCTGCCCGGCAGATTTTTTCCCTGCCTGTAAAAGCGTATTCCTAATCAGAGACCTAAGCGTTTAGCGTATGAACGCTAGCGTCGTATATACGGTACGCGTATATACGCTAAACGCGTATATGGCAACTTAGGTATATCTATAAATCATATGTAGACAATATAGGGGTTGGTAGACGACAGGGGTTGGTTGGGTTATAATATTTATAGGGTGCCCTTGAGTGATCTTATCAAGTGCTAGGCACCCCAAATTCAGCTCTGGGGAAATATATTTGCAAACATTTTCGCAATGAACATAAACCATCTGTCAAAACAAACCCTGTTCGGATTGCCTCGAACATGTTAGACAGCAAACCTAATAGGTGTTCGTAAATTTGCTCATGCCTCTATGGTGGTGGCTTTGCAATCAAAGGCTTTGTTCTTACTGCAATAGGCGCAGCTGCAGCAAGGTAATTGCATTGGTATTGTAGCATGACGGGCCATCGCCATGTGTGTGAGGAGTTCAGAACAAACCAAACCTTCTCCATTCCACTACATAGTAGGAATGAGGAAATAGTAAAGTCAAACAAGGCATAAGCAAGCAGCCCGATCGGGTCGCGGGCGTGACAAGATTCCGGGATTTTGCATGGGTCAGGTCAAGAAATTCTTGCTACTACGAAGACGTTAATCTGCAGTTTTAGGAAATCGCGCTGTTGGGATAGCATATGTCACGATTTCGTGTTGTACTAGCGCGATTTCACCTTGGAGGCTGCACGCCCTCTCTTAGAACAAAAACACTCGCTTTCCACTACAAACCCAAAACACCACTGCCCTCTATAAAGGGGCGGGTCAGCCTGGCCCTGTCAACGGGATTTGTGTGTTGGCGCCGTCCGCGCTTGGGCGGAGCCGACTTCGTGGTCGGGTGTGAGGGGAGCAGCCGACCTGCAGCAGTGGGCGAGCTGGTTGACAAGGAGGTCGACCTGCACGGGGGCCACTGCACGGGCGCCGACTTCAGGGTGGCGCCGGCTTTAGGGAGGACGACCTGGGAAGTCGACCTGCGGAGGGCGTCGACTTGGTGACGCCAACTTGGGGCAGCCGACTTGGGTGGTCGGCTGACAGGACTGCTGGTCGACCTGGTGGTTGGTCGACCAGGCCTGCTGGTCGACTTGGTGGTGGTCGACCAGGCGTGATGTCGACCTGGTGGTCGACGGAGGAGGGGCCGACGTCGACCTCGACTCAGGAGTCACGACGCCGAGCAGCGGGGCGTCGAGTAGCAGGGCGTCAACTTGGTGACGCCGACTTCGGGTAGCCGACCTGGGTGGTCGGCTGACAGCTGTGCTGGTCGACGTGGAGCTGGTCGACCAGGAGTGACGTCGACCTGGAGCTGGTCGACCAGGGGTGTGGTCGACCTGGTGAGGTCGACTTGGGGTGGTCGTCGACTTGGGAGGTCGACGGGCACATACAGGAGCAGCTGGTCGACATGTTTGCCCGGTCGACCAGGTTACCTGGGTGACGAGGTTCTGCGGAGGAGTGCGACGGTCGCCCAGGCGAAGTTGGCGAGGCCGACCTCGGTGGTGGTATCCCGAGGTCGACATGGCGGATCAGGTGCGGTCGTCAGCACGAGGACGACCTGGTGTGTGCGTTGTGCAGGTGACGAGGCTTAGCCCGCCAATCACCTGCGAGCACCTGCGAAGTAGGTGTGCTGCTGTTCTGCGGGAGCAACGCTGGCACGCCGTCAACCTGCAGTGTTGTCACGCCGTCGACTTTGCATTGCTGGAGCGCGGTCGACCAAGTCGTGCTGGAACGCGGTCGACCATGCTGCGCTGGCAGTCGACCGACCTGAATGCTAGGTCTGATGTAGTCTTGTCTTGCAAACTTGATTGTACCATTGTTATCAACTTTCTCTAGTGAAACTCTTGCCAACTTGCCACGTGAACTAGCAAACAGTGTGTACTAAGGACCAACGAACGCAGAGATCACACGAGCACCCGTGTCTAGCCCGTAGTCTAGCTCCCGTTGTAGTAGTTATCTCCGCAGGCCCGACCCGACCCGACCCGTGACTGGGTCCAAGTTGATCCGAGTGTGTAGGCCCGGGTCGGGCCAGAAGTTTCAGGAACCTGGACCGAGCTTGGCCCAACCCGACCCGACCCAGGAGCCCGTGTGGCCCGGCCAGGTCGGGTCGGGTTAGAGTTGAGCATGTGGCCCGACCCGACCCGATTTGGCCGGGCCACACGGGCCCTCGGGTCGGGTCGGGTTGGGCCAGGCAGACCCGCCCCCTTAGGGGAGGCTGGGGGTATCCATCACAATGTGCAATGAAACGTGTGCTCGCGGATTCCCCGTCACCGTGCAAGCGGCCGACGCGAACCTATGTGAAATCGTGCAGCGGTTGCCGGTAAATGCGTCCACTACAGCGGAAACGCCACGGATGTAGTGGGGTCGAAGGAAAGTAGAGGTTGCGCTTGAATCTAGGTACCCTAAAAACTACGAAATTGACCTGCGCGAAATGCACTAAGTGCAACCAGAATCGTATATCAACGAATGTAACTGAAAGTTTGTGCATTTGTGGGGGAAAGCCTAAGATAGGAGGTAGTTTAAAGGAATGTACTTAATACCCTAAGGCCACTAGCTGCTGGGGTGGTGAATGTAAATCGACGGGGAAAAAATCCCCTCTGTCGATTTACATTTGGGCTAGGGTTTCCGCCCTAGCCCTGTCGAAATCGGGTCGCGCACCAAGCCCGACCCGATTTCGACATTTTAGACCCGAAATCGGGTCGGGGCAGGCCCGACCCGAAACCCGGCTCGGCCCGGCCCGAAATGGGCCCTCGGGTCGGGTCTTACCCCGGGTCGGGTCGGGTCGGCCCGTACGGGGCAGAGATTCAGAAACCTTGACCCGACCCGGGCAAAACCACGGGTCGGGTCGGGTCGGCCTGACCCGAGTGGGGCGCCTGCTCAACTCTACCCCAACCTCTCGCTCCAGACGCGCCGTCGTGGCTGCTACCCTTTTCCGTTCCTCCACTGTGTATGCCTTGAGCCCGACCTTCAGGGAGTTCGTCAGGGCCTCCAGGTCACCGCCTCTCTCCTCATGCCTCCGCACTATCAGCGAAACCCGCTTTTGCACTCCGGGGCACGACACTTGCGAGGCCGGGCATGCTGCAACTGACAAGCTCTGAGGCCCTGAGTACCAATACCCGGGAACGTAATCGCATCCCCTTGGAGTAAAAAAATCTTTCTGAAGTTGCAGATAACGAGTGTTGTTAGGATGGTGGAGAATGTGATGTGAGCCTGTGAAGCCTGTGAAGCCTTTTTGGTGGAGAAACTCACAAGCCGGTCAGGTTGGGAAGGTTGCCAAATGCCGGCTGTATTGGGCCAGTAAGGTTCGTGTTCACAATATACCTGAATTCGAGAAAGGAAGGAGGGTTGTAGGGAAGGAGAGACTGAAGGCTGAGAAACGATCTTGTCAGCAGCAGCGTGAGACTTCGAAAGAAAAAACATCATGGTTCAAAGGTAAAACGGGTAACATCTTTCTGATTTCTTGTGTCTTGGAACCAGAAACAACCCAGGCACAGGAAGCACGGCCCTCACAAGCTATATTGGATCGGATCGGACGCGCTAACATCCGGAAGCTGAACGAGCCACCTTATGGGCATCCGATCCAACATAGCTCACAAGGTGTGAGTGCCTCACATCACATGTCTACCGAGGGAGGAGGAGCACTCACAAGTAGTCGAGGCTTAGGAGGTTGATGATAGAGCTAGGGATGGGCCCATTCAATTTTCTGCCAGTGATAATTCAGATGAGCGGACATTGAAATGGAGGAGAGACTAGTTGCACTGGTAATAACGGGAGGATCATGCATGTGGAATCGGTGAGACATGGCATGCATGTCACATGGGTGGGTGTGGCATGCATGTGGCATGGGTGTGGCATGCATGTGGCATGGGTGTGGCATGCATGTGGCATGGGTGTGGCATGCATGTGGCATGCGTGTGCGGCGGCATGCGTGCTTGTAGCATGCATGTGATGTGACATGGGCCGTGTGCTGCGCGCATGCATGTCACCTATGATGCATGCGGCCATGTGACATGAATATGCTGCATATTTACAGCATAAAAAGCACACCATATGGCTTAGGACACAGAGGAACATCGAGAAGGCGGGTCGAAGAGAACATCCATAAATACAGTTTCAAAAGCATTGTTCAAAAGTTCACAGACATCGCCTTAGCAGGCTTTGGAGGTTGCTGATAGAGCTAGGGATGGCCCCATTCAATTTCCCGCCTTCGATATACCTGATGAGCGGACATTGAAATGGAGGAGAGACATGCATGTGGCATGTGAGACGTGGCATGCATGTCGCATGGGATGGGTGGGTGTGGCATGCATGTGGCATGCATGTGGCAAGGGTGTGGCATGCATGTGGCATGGGTGTGGCATGCATGTCGCATGCGTGTGTGGCGGCATGCGTGCTTGTAGCATGCATGTGATGTGACATGGGCCGTGTGCTGCGTGCATGCATGTCACCTATGATTGATGCATGCGGCCATGTGACATGAATATGCTGCATACCTATAGCATAAAAAGCACACAATATGCCTTAGGAAACAGAGGAACATCGAGAAGGTGATTCGAAGAGAACATCCATTATACAGTTTCAAAAGTATTGTTCATATTTTCACAGACATCGCCTTAGCAGGCTGAAGGGGTGTTCCCAGAAACATGTGGTAGAGTAACAGCAGAACGGGGAAGGGAGAGGGAGGGGTGAGGGAAGAGGAGCAAGAGGAGTGAGGGAAGCGGGGAGAGAGGAGAGAGGAAATAACGATGGATACAGGAAAGGTATTGAGAGGTGGGGATGGGAGTAAGGGGGCGTGGAGGGGAGGCATTGGAACTGGGGTGAAAGTATGGGGTGGGGGGGAGGGGGGGATTCCTGGGGAGTTTGGGGGAACGATTCGCGATTGCAGGCAGGTAGTGACTTGCTGCTCCTTTTTTTCTTTTTAAGGGGGTAAGGAGGGAAGGGAGAAGTGTTGTTGAGGGGGCGAAGAGCAAAGGAGGAGCCGTGGTCCACTCCCATGGCTCTTTTCACGCTTCAGGGTCCATGTGGGCCCACCTTTATGGTTTTTCGCACCTCAATCACAGAGCTTGGCTCACGCTGCCTGAAGCATTGCCAACCCCGCCCTTCCCGTACATCAGAAGCATCAGAGGTCACCTGGGCCCATGAGGGCCGATGAGGCCACCTGGTCCCATGAGGGTCCACTCACATCCACGTTATCATGCCCTGGGCATTGCAGGCGACGCTGCTTGCAGTGCTGCAGTTCCCACCAACCACCCAGCCGTTAAACGTTGTGGCCCACGCCTTCTGACAGTCCAGCAGGAATTGCGCTGGCGGCAGGAGGAGGGAAGGGAGGGGGGTCAGCGAGAGGAGAGAAGAGCAGCGAGTGGGAGAATGAGAAAAAGGGTGTGAGGAAATGAGAGGACACGCCCTCCTCGTGGATTGGAAAGAAGGAATTGGATGGTTCCACCTTGCCTCATTACATGCACTCCACGTGGTACCAGTTCCTGGGGAAAAGTCACGGGGAGGGGCACGGAGCAGGGAGGGGCAGGGAGCAGCGCGGGAAACACGGGGACGGGCAGGGAGCAGTTAGAGTCTAGCAGAGATCTCCTACCTCCTCTCGCACCTGCTCACCTCTGCTCCTCACTCACACTCGCATCATCAACTCAACTATCCTACTCGCCCGGCCGGCTCCGGCCGCAACATCCCCATCACGCCCAAAAATGTGCCTTTTCCGGTCTACAGCGTGCCCAAAGGCTGTACTTCAGACCATTACTAAGTAATTTCTCGTCCCGCCCTGCTACAGCGCACACCCCTTTTAGCATCCGAGCTCCCAGCGGAAAAAGCGGCACGGAGCAAGTGAAACTTCTAGAAGCGAGGCACGCTATTGGTAAGAAGATGCGTACTGAGCGAAGCACGCACCCTGTGAGTCGGGAAAGGGAACGCAGTCGACTTGTACGACCCCGAGACACGTCACAAGGAGCAGCGCGTCGCCGAGGTGTAGGGCTGCGGCGCGGCGCTCCATCGCGCCGCGATGAACGCGGCAAGAACGCGACAGTCGCACGGACAAACGGGGGCCTGGATACGGCCCGTAAGTGCTGGATTTCTTCGGGATAGTAGTTTAGGGGTTGGTTGGTCCCGGCGATGGTAGTTAGGGTTAGTTCCAGCTACTATCGCCAGTTAGGGTTAGCTCCAACTGCTATCTTGCTAGTTAGGGTTAACTCCTGCTACTATTGCCCGAAGTTTGTAACATGTGGAGGTGAACAACATAGCGACTTTTGGGTTTCTCGTCACGTACTGATGTGAGGATTGGAAAAATCTCACAGCCGTAACTCGCGCCTCTGCCGCCTGCCATGTCAACCCCCTAAGTAGTCAGTTTGCCGTCCGCAGACTGATTCGACCATTAAGGTCGGGTTTGCCGAATTTTGGAGGTGCACTATATAATATGTACAATATGTACAATTATTATAAAATATGTACTGATTAGTTGTTGTTAGGCCCGGCGGCCTAAGTTCGCTAACGAATAGCGGGGTCGACTAAGTCGAGGATGAAATGCGGCGGAAGACTTTGGCGAAAGAAGTGTTGGTAAAATAGGCAAAGTAACTGAGTAATTGGAATGAGAATTGGTTGATAATGGCAAGTACATGCAAGGTTTATATAGCGAACAAGAGAGAATGTTGGAAAGTAGTTTGTGGGACAAGGAATTGGAATTGCTAGAAGAGTAGAGTGCCACGTGGCAGTTGGGAAATCTAGGAAATCCAAGGAAATCTCAAAGGGATTGGATGGAGATAAGTTTGGATAAGGTTGGAAGCACTGTTTAGGGTAAACCACCCTTGAACAGTAAACTACCTCGTAATAGTTGTCCATTGTTACGAGTGCAAGCTAGCGAGAATTGCACTATCAAAGCTTTTAGAGTGGGGATCATGGATAGGATAGAAATGCCTTAGAAGAGTTTGGTAGCGGAAGTCTTTGTAGGAACTCTGATCATGGTGAATGTAAATGACAAAGTTGATAAAAAGGATAGAATACAAGCAAATAAATTGTCCTAACTAGCCATGTAGGTACATTTCCTTATTTTAACTGTTTTTCAGGCAATTCTACAATGACTCTGACTATTGCTCTTCTTCTTGTTACCGAGTCGCTGCGTGTAACCGTGCGTACGGTTACGCCTGCTGCCATTCCTTGATGGTAAGTCAACCGTCGGTCCAGATGGTCAACAGTCGCGACAGTTCACTCTTGTGACTGTTGACCTTCCTGCCCTTGATACGGGCTGATCCGACATTACTGCTAGCGCTGCTTCGCTACGGGCGCGATATTGCTGCACCTTCGGGAATGCTAAGTATAATTTCCTTCATACTCCAACACTCCCCTTTATTCCTGGAGGTGCGCCACGTGGCTCTTTCGAACGATTCTGCATAGGTCCGAGCAGTACTAGAACTTCTGACGTTGTAGCTTCTTTGTCAAGAAATCGGCTGCCATTTCGCCAGTTGGGCAGTAGGTAAGCTAAACCTTCCATTTGTTGATTTCGTCTTTGATGAAGAAGTAACGCAGGGCGATGTGTTTCGTGCGGTTGACGAAGCCCGACTTGTTTGCGATATTGATCTCACTCTGATTGTCGCAAAGTAACTTGAAGGACCCGTTCATCGCCGTTTTCGTTTCATGTAGGAGTTCCGTATGGTAGAGTCCTTCGCGAACTTCTTCACTTGCTGCGATGAATTCTGCTTCTGCTGACGAAAGGGAGATGAGCTCCTACTTCTGTGAGTTCCAGGAGATGGTCCCTGCAGGCTCAAGTTTGAAAATGAAGCCTGTGCGGGACCTCCTGTTGTCTGTGTTCCCAGCGTGGTCGGCGTCTACATAGCCAGTAAGCTGTAGATTAGCCGTCAAGTTTGCCTTGTAGATAAGGCCGATGTCGGGCGTAGAGATGAAATACTGTAGAGCGCGTCGTAGGTCTGCCATGTTTTTCCCTTCAAGTCGGCGCAAGTACTGGGCGAGTTGGCTGGCGATGTAGGATAGATCCGGGCGACATGTGACGGCGGCGAACAGTAGGCAACCGAGCCGCTGGTGGTAGAGGCGATGGTCGGCCGGGGCGAGCGGGGTGGTATCGGGTTCGTGGTTAGGTGGAGGAGTGCGGAACGAGGTAGTGATGCCGATGGGAGCGATGCCGAATTTCTTAGCGAGGTTTCTGGTATATTTCTCGGCGGAGAGGTGGATTGTGGGCGCTCTGGGTGACTTTGAGACTGAGTAATTGAGTGACCTCGTGATCGATGGTCACTTCCAGCTTCTCCTGGATTTCGCGTTCGAAGCGGTTGAGCAGCTCCGCGTTGTCTCCGGTGTAGAGAAGGTCATCCACGTAGGCGACGAGAAGAATGAAGCTGCCGCGGGACTCTAGACGGTACATCCCTTGGTCGTGAGGGAGCTGCTTATGGAGGTACTGCTGCCTTAGGCGTGGTGCCTGCTTGATGCCGTACAGGGACTTCTGGAGTAGGCAGATGGCATCGCCATCTTCCTCGAAGGCGTACGGCTGCTCGACGTAAATGACAGCGTCAACGATCGCGTAGAGGAAGGCGTTGGAGATGTCGATTTTGCGCAGAGGGCGCTGCTTTACGGCGATGCAGAGAAGAATTCGCACAGAAGTGTGGCGGCCGACAGGTGCGAATGTCTGATTGTAGTCCACAAACTGAGTCCGCTCGAATCCGAAGACGACCCAACGCGCCTTGTACTTGTCGACTG